CTATAGCTGTTGACTTGACATCAGTATTTATTATAGTTAACAAAAAAAAAAAGGACAACTTGGATTTTTTTTAAATGTTACTTGAAGTAAAATAAATGTTATTTGAGGTCAAATAAAATATAAAAACATAAATTTTCATTTAGTTTAACTTAGTGTACTAAAATAATAACATAATAATGAAATAAAAATGATTAAAAACTATATAGACATTGGAGAAAAATTACAACACACAACAAAATTACTAAAACTAACTAAAATTAAAAAAAGGTAAATATAAATGAAAAAAAATTTTTTAAACTAATTTAACAAACTATTAATAAAAACTATAAAACTATTTAAAAATGGCAAAAACACACAACAAAATTAGTAAAACTTGAACTAAAATAAAAAATGTAAAAATAAAAACTAATTTAACAAACTGTTAATAAAACTTATCACAATGATACTACAATTTCACTGGTTGAAATGTTACTTAATCATTTGGTACCCGCTGGCACTAAAAATTGCATAATGCTGCATTTGTAAGCAGTGTTTGCTTAAAGTATATTTTACACGACTAGGCCTGCAAATACTGCAGGAGGCAGTGTAAATGGACAGAGAACTGCGTTCATTCATCCTGTGGGAGATAGTTTAAGACATAATCCCCCCAAACCAGCAAGAGACTTGGATGTGTGATAGATTCATGATGTCACAGCAGGCCCTTCAAGAGCCGGAAATGTCATCTCAATTTCACACTTCTCATGAAAGTCTGTAGTGGTCCAGCACAGATAAGCAGTGCATGAGCTTGCTGTAAATTACTTTCAAAGGATTTTAGGTCAATAGGGCAAGCGTGTTTCGCTCTAAGATGTCTAAAAGAAGCAGAAAAACATATGTCATCAGAAACCACTGTGTTACAAGATTAACACTAGAAAAACAGCACCTGAGTGACCCCACAAAGAGAAAGGTAGTTTATGATGTATCAATTTATAACTATATATAATATTAACAATATATAGAAAAATTGCCAAAAGTATATCAGAAAAAAATATATTGCCTATTTTTCCCAATATATATATATTTTTAATTTTGTAAAAAGAAAAAAATATATAATCAAAATGTTTAAAGTATATATTTTGACTAGGAAAAAAGGTTATGAAAATATTAAAAAAGGCCAAAAATAGAAAAATAATTCTTATTTTCTAAAAGAAAGAAAGTAAAATAAAGACATTTTGTGGTTTCTTATTTTCTTTTTATTTAAAGAAAATAAAAAATGAATGACAAATTCGTACAGAATTTTCCAATTATGTCAACAACAGAAGTTGAGAATGAGGTCAGTCTAAATAGTGATGACTATACAAGTAAAGAGAAGTCACAAAGTTCAAGGGAAACAGTCCCACACTATCATATCACCTTTATTTGCAGCTGTCAAAGTTCCACTTATCTGACAGTTTGCCATCCCACCATTGACTGTAGATAATCGCTCTAAATCACCACAAAAGGCAATCTATCCTCCTTCATATCAATCTCAAATAGTTTACTCTTCATTGGATGCAAACAGACCCTTGGCTTTCTTTTAGTTTGTCTGCTATTTGGCAAAATTATAATCTGAATTCTGAAGATTTGTGTTCATGCATTGATGCATGAATATAACCACAAAATCCAAGCTTGAAGAATAAAGTTTGAATCTCACATATCGGTCAAGCACTATTCTGAATATCAGGGGGATGTGTGCTCCTTAACATCTATGTGAGTTACGGTTCTGAAAAGTTCACAGTTCCTTATTTGATGCATCTTACCCTAACCCCCCCCCCCCCCCCCCGGGGGGCCCCCGCGCCGCTCCTCCACCT